GTAGCTGTTGTTGGGAATATATAGAGAGTAAAAATGGAAGGGAATGTACAATTCAAACATCCTATTTCAAGAAAATATAATCAATTGGTTTTAGTTTTAGGTTTTAGTTTTAGTTTGAACAAATGTGTGGTACAAATTTGAGATCTAGTCCGGAATAAAATGATTTGTTTTTAGTTTGACTATATATGTGATAGCATTTGAATATGTAATTTTTTAGTTCAAAACTATGACATTAAATGAATTGAATTAAGTTCATAGTGATAAACGAGTGAAATCTTTGTTTAACAATAATAAAATGACTTGTCGACGTATTAGGTTATTTATTGAATATGGTATTGTGGCATGTCAACTAACGTATATTTTTTTTTTTTGTAAAATAAATATTATTAGTTTAAGAAGAGGAGAAAAAAGCTAACCTATTATTCGGTCTATTTTTGTTCGTATTTCTTTTAATAGCATTTTACTTAAAATTGTGATGTAAACCCTCTTATGAATTAATTGAGCAAAACAAACAGAAAAATAAAAAATGGCATCTTCTAATTTTCTTGCAGTCTCTTCCATTGTCCTTTCATTCTATTCCTCAATGGGATGGTGCCCATGCATGTAGCTTCTCAAAACGACATCGTTTCCACCACATCTGCAAGAAAACTAGAAACCCATCTTTTTGCTTTAACGTGTTGAAATCTGCTGGCACCACAGATCCTAAAAGGGCTGGCCACCTTCACCCTCAACCTCGCCCACGACCAGACTGCTCAAAGTCGTGTCCTCGCCCAGTCCTTCGCGTCCAAGGCAGCCGATCCCAAGCTTAAGGAGCGCTATGCCACTTGTGCTGAACACTACGACCATGCTGTCGACGACATCGAGGATGGAAAGAACTACTTGGGGAAAGGTGACTACAATGGCATCAACACTATGGCGTCTGCAGCCATGATGGAGGCCGGCGACTGTCTGGATAGTTTCATGCAGCCGTCGAAGGACCCATCGGTGCTGTCTGACAATGGGAAGGCTGTGGAAGATATTTGTAGTATCATCTTGAATAGGAAGTAGGTTGTGACCTCCACATAAGACAGACAAGGGGCGACCCTCAAGTAACTTCTATCCGATCACATGAGGGACGGTGCATCATCCAATACATCAAGAATGTGCAATGTAACTAAGTCGAGGCATATGTCAAGTTCGAGAGAACGAGGCGAAACGAGTGTTAAAGACAAGCTCAAAGAGGGTCGAGTAGACTCCAGACAATAACCTCAAAAGTGTTTCGAAAGACCGAATCGTGACTAAAAAGACAAAATTGAAAACAAATAAAAATGGGCTTGAAAGACCGAATCGACTAAAAAGTGAAAACAAATAGAAATGGGCTTGAAAGACCAAATCTGGACTAAAAAGACGAAATCGAAAACAAATAAAAAGAAAAAGAAAATAAAATAGAAGCAAAATTCTCGCAAACCTTAAAACAAGAAAAGGAAATCAAAGACACCAAAATTAAATATAAAATCAAATCAAATGTTACAAATACGAATTACAAATATAAAATAAAATACAAAAGACTCTAAATATAAAAACGGACAAAGGACTTTAAAGAAACCGACAAGGGACTAATGCTCCAAAACGACACCCTTCTGTGACAGTGCAGCTCTCGAACACCTCCTTGTATCGATAGGTACCTAATAAAAAATAGGAGAAAGGGGTGAGTATAAAAATATACTTAGTAAGCAACCTACTTGTAGACTCTTTTCGCATCCTTATCTTAGTAGGTATCCACGGTCTTATTTCTAGGTTCTAGTGAGTACGAATCACATTACAACTCTCTTTTCTGTATCTTAGGAGGCTTGTCCATCTTAAGCAGTTAAATGATCAGTGTCCTGAGGTGAGGCGCGACCTCATAAGTAAATCTGAGGGGATCGTATGGCTGGATCTGAATACGTAACTCTCTCTGAACATCATCCATAGAGGTTGGCTGAGACTCTCACACGGGACCATACATCCACTAAATTCGGGTGCGACCCCTTGTGTGCCGGTCAGCTACTGAGTCATCCTATGTGGCTCTACATTCCCCGCTCAGGGACGGGTTTCTACGGCCCAGGAGTCCCTGTTCAGAAGATCCCTTAGCTATCACCACTAGGTCTGGGCACCTGTCACACTTCCCCATCTGGATCTGCCAAGCTCAACGATCTCCGTACCTGAGATCTATCTCGACGGTACGGTATCGGAGGAGAGAGAGAACTGGAGGTTTTGATGACACTACCTACACTGCTCAACTCTAGCGGGTTACCTACGGTTACCGTGGTGACCTATTATTCTTTCTAGGGTGGAACTTGGTGGCTTAGACTTGGATTCATGTATCTTTAGGATTCTCGTGTCTGGTCTCCCAAACCTATAAGTTTTGGAATTCTAGGCTCTGGATCCGCTGGTAATCATTTCGCGGGTCTCATTGCACGGTATTCTAGAGGTCCCCCAATCTAGGGTCTCATCTAGCCTACTTAGTCACAAGAACCCTAACCTAAGCTCATAATTTCTTCCTATTCATCAAGAAAGATAACACAAGCAATCATCATGCATAAGAGTTCACACGCAGCAGTTCATGTAATATTAACAAACATGCTCAACGGGAAGATAACGTCCATCTTTACCCGAAGCGCAGATTTCACAAGTTTTCCATCCTCCTCATGCATACATACTTTATCAAAATCTCAATCAAGCAAATTTAATAAACCGTTCATATCTAGCTTTTCTTAATCATTTCATTTTCGCAGTTTCCATACTAATATACTAGGTTCGGCTAGCTAAGTTAATGGGTGGTAGCATGCATGCTTGTTCCTAGTGGAAATCCAAATGGCTACTTACATGGTTGACACGTGCCTTCCCAAGCTCGAATTATTTGCCGGAAACGGTTCTGAAAATTATGAAATTTCCTTGATAGGTCTTAATTCACATAAAAATAGGATCAGAGTTAAAATCGGGGCAAAAAACAAGCAAATGGAGGGAAAATGGTCACTCACGCGCCTACACGCGCGCTAACGCTCTGGAGGGTGTACTATGCGCATGTGTTCACGCGTGACTTCCTGCGCAGTCGCGGGCCAGCGGCCAGTTCGAGTGGTTCGGACTCAGGCCGACCCGGTTGCGCGCGCCTGATGCGCTTCTCTAGCCCGTAGTCGCCACGTGTCGCTCGTCGGTCTTGCTGCGCTTCTCCGTACATCGGCCAACATGTGGCGGCGATGCCACCTCTCTCCTCCTGCGTTTTTTTCCAAATTTTCCAGAAACGTGAGTTTTGGCGTTTTCGATCTATTTTCTTCCGATTTTATATTTTCCAATCCGTAATCCGAATCAATAAATTCTCTTCACGATCTCATATTCTATTTCTACAATATATTTTTCTCGTATTTTTTTGGTAATCACAGGTCATATTATTTGAGTTCGAATTTGGGGAAAAACACGAGTTCTTATCGAAAATAACGTTTTCTTGAAACTCCGATTTTTGTCCAAAAACTTCAAGAGACCTATGTGAATCTTATTTTAGTTACATACCTCAAAAAATCCAGATCTAACGCTCATGAAATTTCTTAGATCTAGATAAAATCGAAACATGAAGTTCGGAATCTTACTTTGTCCGTTCTCAGATTTTCTTGCTGGAATGAGTGGATCCACCACCCAAACTCCTTTTCCACCACCGAGAGGAGTATTGTTTCGAAGTTTCTTGCCTTGGATTCAATCTCCGCAGTTTGTCTTCTCTACTATTCCTCTCTCTCAAACCCTAACTTCTTCTCCGGTCTCTTTCTCTCTTTTTCTTTTTCTTTTCTTTCTCTTTCTCTTTCTCTTTCTCTTTCTCTCTTCTTACAGCCCAAACAACTAGACCCCTAGGTAAGAGTAGGGGCAAAATGACCTTTTGCCCCTATGTTGATATTTTTATTTGTTTATCTAAAAAATTCAAGTATTGTATTGGGAGTCAATTTGGAAACAAAACCTGGGTGAGTAGGATCAAACGAATAGCCACTTAAGTATGAACGACTTGTGCTCTATGCCCCTTACACGTGTCGTACTTGTGACTGTTTGACGTGTATGGTGTTATGTTATGTTATAACTAAATTTATGTTATGTTACGTGGGATCCCATGAGACATATATATATGATGTTATGTTATGTATTTTGAGATTACTTTCATGTTTTATGATGCATGATGTCTCTATATATACGTTATGCCATAAACATTATATTATCTTCAGGTTTATGATGCCTCTAACAAATTTGCAGGAAATCGTGGACCGAGGTTGGTCTGGGTTATCTCGTGATCGCCCCGAAATGTTCCATGATTACTAATTTCTCAACATCCCATGATTTTAACCAAGTCGAGCTTATTGACTTACTAACTTCTCAATGCATGATTTCCACATCTATTATTTTAACCAAGTCGAGTTTATGACTCACAATTTTCACGTCAAAACACACAATGATGGCAAGGACTACTTTTCGAGATGCCAACAAAAAAAACATTGGCAAAACAAATACTTGTCGACGCATTAGGTTATTTATTGAATATGGTATTGTGACATGTCAACTGTTCAATATTAAGTTAATAAAAGTTGATTTTTTTTTTTTTTTTTGTAAAATAAATATTATTAGTTTAAGCAGAGGAGAATTGTCCAGAAAAGTGTGCATAATAACGGAGCCAAGTTTATGATTGGGTTTGGAGAGAAAAGAGCGTAACCTATTCCGTCTATTTTTGTTAGTTTTTCTTTTAATAGCATTTTACTTAAAATTGTGAGTGTATAAATATGTAAACCCTCCCTATGAATTAATTGAGCAAAACAGACAGAAAAATAAAAAATGGCATCTTCTAGTTTTCTTGTCGTCTCTTCCATTGTCCTTTCAATTATGTTCTTCAATGGGATGGTGCCCATGCATGCAGCTTCCCAAGACGACATCATTTCCACCATCTGCAAGAAAACTAGAAACCCATCTTTTTGCTTTAACGTGTTGAATTCTGCTGGCACCACAGACCTAAAAGGGCTGGCCATCTTTACTCTCAACCTCGCCCACGACAAGGCTGCTCAAAGTCGTGTCCTCGCCCAGTCCTTGGAGTCCAATGCATCCGATCCCAAGCTTATGGAGCGCTATGCCACCTGTGCTAAGCACTTCAACAATGTCGTCGACGACATCGTGGATGGGAAGAACTACTTGGGGAAAGGTGACTATAATGGCGTCAACACTATGGCGTCTACAGCCATGACAGAAGCCGGCGACTGTCTAGACAGAATCATTCAGCCGCCGAAGGACTCATCGGCGCTGTCTGGCAACGGGAAGGTTGTGGAAGATATTTGTAGTATCATCTTGGTTATAGCCAATCTTCTTCTTGGGCGTGCCTAATTCCTCCTTCAACCTTTATGTACTTGGAATGCCATGAATCAATAATATGTCTGTTTTGAATCCTATAAATTTGGACATCGACTCGATACTAATCTGGGGTCACTCACTTTTATTGCTCTCCAACTTTAAGGTCACAAGTTCTAGTTTGTGAGTTGCACATAATTTTCTCTTATTGATTTATAGACCTCCTCAGCAGATGATAAAGCTAAAGAAACTAGTTTGAATCGAATCAAAATGAGTATGGAGGGAGAATTGCCCAAATTGTTCAAAAGCTTACTCAATTTCATTTATTCATAACTTTTTTGGTTAGGTTGGTTTGTTTTATCATTTTGGATTCGAGTCAATTTGGATTGGTTTTGAGTTTATAGTGTAGAAAAACTAGGTCATGAATCGTCCCGATTTCATTAAAAAAAAAAAAAAAAAAAACAAAGAAAAGGCTAGCAGAAGGCCAAAGGTTTTCTGGCCCAACGACCCACCCTCTAATGAGAAGTAGGTGCATGTCACAATCTTATTAACAAAAAGTAGGCTGTGACCTCCAGACAGACAAGTGACATATGCACTATGCCACTTGTGCTGAACACTATGACGATGCTGTCGATGACATCGAGGATGGGAAGAACTACTTGGGGAAAGGTGACTACAATGGCGTCAACACTATGTCGTCCATGACGGAGACCGGCGACTGT